TTTTTTTATGTGTTTCTGGATTCTGTTAGCTAGAATCTTGTTAAGGATTTTTGCATCTGTGTTCATCAAGGAAATTGGCCTGTAATTCTCCGTTTTGGTTGGGTCTTTGCCTGGTTTGGGGATGAGTGTGATACTGGCTTCGTAGAATGAATTTGGGATAGCTCCCTCCTTCTCTGTTTCTCTGAAGAGCTTGAGGAGTATGGGTATTAGTTCTTGTTTAAAGGTCTTATAGAATTCTGCTGTGAATCCATCTAATCCTGGGCTTTTTTTTGTTGGAAGACTTTTGATAGCTTCCTGTATCTCATTATAGGATATTGGCTTATTTAATTGGTTTACTTCTTCTTTGCTCAGTTTAGGCAACTTGTATTTCTCTAAAAATGCACCCATTTCTGCCAGGTTTTCTTCCTTTAGAGAGTATAACTTCTGAAAGTAGTCTGTTAGAATTGTTTGGATATCTTGGGTACATGTTGTGATTTTTCCCGTGGCATCCCTAATCCTGTTAATATGGATTTCCTCTCTTTTTTTAATAAATCTTGCCAACGGGCCATCAATTTTGTTTATTTTTTCAAAGAACCAGCTTTTTGTTTGGTTTATTTTGGCTATAATTTTCTGATTTTCGAATTAGTTAATCTCTGCTCTTAATTTGGTTATCTGGCTTCGTCTGGTAACTTTAGGTTCCATTTTTTCTTGTTTTTCTAGCTGTTTTAATGCAATATGAGAGTATTTACTTGGTCGGTCTCCATTCTCTTGATGTGGGCACTGAGGGCAATAAATTTGCCCCTCAGGACTGCTTTTGCTGTGTCCCACAAGTTTCTTTGTGAGGTATTTTCATTTTTATTGAGTTGTAGGAAATGTTTTATTTCTTCTCTGATCTCTTCCGTTACCCAGGCATTGCTAAGGATTGTGCTGTTCAATTTCCATGTATTAGAGAAATTTCTGCGGTATGCTTTGTTATTGAGAACTAGCTTGATTCCACTGTGGTCATATAGGATACAGGGGATTATGTCGATCCCTTTCTTTTTGCTTAAGTTCCTTTCATGAACTATGATATGGTCTATTTTGGAGAAAGTTCCATGAGCTGCTGAGAAGAATGTGTACTGTGTTGTTTTAGCATGAAATACTCGGTAGATGTCAGTTAATTCCGCTTAAGTATGGCCTCAATTGGTAGCTTCTTTGCCAATCCTCTGGTTGGTAGACCTGTCCTTTGGTGAGAGTGGTGTGTTAAAGTCTCCTAGTATTATCGTATTGGGATCTATTTTATTCTGTAGGTTTGAGAGCATTTATTTAACATATCTGGGTGCACCAATATTTGGGGCATATAAGTTGATGATGGTAATATCCTCCTCTTGGATTGTTCCCTGTATTAATATGTAGTGTCCGTCCTTGTCTTTCTGTACTGATTTTAATGAAAAGTTTATTTTGTCAGATATCAGGATAGCTACACCTGCTTTCTTACTGGGGGCATTTGATTGGTAGATCCTTTTCCAACCCTTTAATCTGAATTTGTTTGTATGTATGTTTGGCTGAGAGGTTGGATCTCTTGAAGGCAACAGATGGATGGGTCTTGTTTTCTGATCCAGTCTGCAGTTCGTTTTCTTTTGATTGGCGAATTAAGCCCATTAATATTAAGAGAAGGCATAGAGAGATGTATTGTTGTCCCTGTCATTCCATTTTCCTAAGTTTTTCTTCTTTCCTTTCCTCCTGTGCTTGCTCAGTTAGACTTTGGTTAACGCCTGTGTGGGGCAGGTCCCAGTTCCTGGTTGCTTTCTTCAGGTTGTGTCCCCTCCTCTTAGAATTCTTTGTAATGCTGGCTTAATGTTTATGTATTCATTTAGTTTTTCTTTGCTATTAAAAGTTTTCAGTTCTCCATCGAATGTGAATGCTAGCTTTGCCGGGTATATCAGTCTGGGTTGGCAGTTATTGGCTCTCAGGGCTCGTATGGTGCTTTCCCAGGCCTTTCTTGCGTTCATTGTTTGTGTGGAGAGATCTGCAGTAATTCTAATTTTTTTCCCGTTGTAGTATAGCTCCTTCTTCATTTTTGCTGCATGCAGGATGTTTCCTTATTATTCAGATCTATCATTTTTACTATAATGTGTCTAGAAGTGTTTCTCCTGGGATCTTGCTTGTTGGGTGTTCTATATGCTTCTGTTATGTAGGTAAGATGTTCTTTTTTGAGGTGGGGAAAATTTTCACCGATTATCTTGTTGAATAGGTGCTGCATTCCCTTGCTCTGAAATTCCTCACTTTCGTCCACTCCGATTATATGAAGGTTAAATTTCTTGGCATTATCTGCTTGCTCTTTTTTTTTGGGGGGGGGGTCTGGTTATGGAGCCTGAACTCTGGGCCTGGGCACTGTCCCTCAGCTCTTCAGCTCAAGGCTAGCTCTCTACCACTTGAGCCACAGCGCCACTTCCGACTTTTTTCTTTTTGCTTATGTGGTGCTGAGGAATTGAACCCAGGGCCTCAGGCATGCAAGGCAAGTGCTCTACTACTGAGCCACCTTCCCAGCCCCTATCTGCTTGCTCTTGAATTTCTCTTTGGCTTAATTTGAGTGATTTTTCCATATCT